CAAAACAAAAAAAAAAAAAAAAGTACCAGATAAACACCCAGGATCACTCTTATCGGAGGGGCCACAGGAAAGGCGCCAGGTTTAATCTCAGAACCACACCCTGAACCAACGGTTTAGATGCCCAGCCCAATGTTCAGTGACAAGCTGTTGGTGGAGGAGACAGGCTGTGGGGAGGGACAGGGCGAGGTTTCTTAAAGCCTGTAGCTGTAACCTTGGGCTGGATCAGTACCTGGGGAAAGGAGGAGGGAAGTGCCCTGGGTCCGGGGAGAAGCAAAACAGCACCGTGCCTTAGATGCAGGGCTGCACTGTATGTGTGCGCGGTGCATCTGTGCTAAAGGGGAGCCCGTTGACCAGGACCCCTGCAGGATCTGCAGTGGTGGCAAAGAAGTCAAGGGCATCACGAGAGTACCTGGGGGGGGGGGGGGGTTCTCGGGGGAGGGTTTTGGAGCCAGCCCATGTTATTGACAGGACATGACGGCTGGAACGGGGAGCAGGAAGGCGGGAACCAGCCCTATCAAGGAACACCAAGGAAGGCTTCAACAGAGACGGACTCGTGGAGAATCTGCTGCTGTGATTTCAGGTGGATGGAGCTCACTCGGGGCTGGAGGGGAGGTGGGAAGAACGCCGGGAGAAGCAAACTGGACCCACCCACCCCCAACCACCTAAGTACCACCTGCTGGTCTGGCCTCCAAGAGCCTGCCACAGAAGAAAAGTGCCTCAGTTTCCCCATCTGCGGAGGTAAAGAAGGTCTCTGGTGACTCTCTTGAAGAAAGGCACAGAATGGGTATTTGTGGAACTGGGGACGGGAGAGAGAGCATGGTCAGAGAGGCCACCTGCAGGCTACGGCCACCACTGAGCCCTCAGCTTGCCCGGTGCGGCCCTGAGCCCTCTCTGTGACCGCTAGGGCTACCCGAAGCTTAGACTGCCACCCCACACAGAAGTCCTGGTCATATTACACCTGGCTATGCCATTTCCCCGCCAACCCCCATCCTGCAGTGTGCATGAAGCAATCTCCATTATCACACATGCTTGGCATTTTTGCCTGATAATCACACCTCCCACAGCCCCATGAGGGATTAGGGCATGATTAGGGAGGAGGGAAAACTGGTAAGTGGAGCCAAACATCTGCCAAAAGACTTGGCCGCCTCGTGTGATGGCCTCCTCTGAGGGTCTGGTGGACGGGTCAGGACCCTACCCAGGGGCTGTGGTAGCACAGGACATCCACATCTTACCCACGCATGTGCTCCGATGCTGCCTTCCCGCCAGCGGCCCCCTGCTCCTGCCCTGTGCACCTGAAGGGGAAGAGACCTGACCCAGAACTCGAAGCAAATCTCCTTTGCAAGGGAAGGTGCCCCACCTCGGCCCCATATGGGGTCTTTATCTGCTCTCTGCTCCTGACCCTAGTCCTGTGGGAACGAGGTAGACAGACACTGGGACTGCCACGGTCTGTCTGCCCACACTGTGCCTTCCATCTGGAATGATCATTCACTCAATTATTCACTTGTGCTTGAAGGCCCAGGGTAGCAGCTTCCTCCAAGAAGCTCCTTCTTTGTCCATCAGAGAACCTGGCAAGAAGCATCCACCGAGCCCTCACACAGTGCTGAGACCTGTTCTAAGTGCTTCAGTGCGGGGACTCTCTTCATCTTAGCTAGAATGCTGCGAGGCTGACATTTTATACACGAGACACCAAAGCTCATCAAGTGTAAGTCAAGTGCTCAGGGCCACATAGGGGTCAGACTGGAGCAGCGTCTTCCTCCCAGATTTACGAGGCGAGTTTCCTATGTATCCCTCTGAACTTCACAAAAATGGCCAGCTCTACAGCAGAGCCTTTCAGGCTTGAACTGGTCCACCCATCTAAAATGCAGATTCCCGGTTGAGCGGGGTTGGGATGGAGCCTGGATGAGAAACTCAGCGGCGCTGCTGCTCTGACGATCACTCTGAGTAGGAAAGCTTAGCATCCAGAACAAGGAACAGTCCTCTGTTGTCACCGCTGCTTAGCAGAGATGAAGGCATGTGGTAACTAGGTAACTAGTCTCTTCACTCCTAGCCGACTGGAGGCCCTGCTGTCCATTGGTCCGTGCTGCTCCCGTCCCTGTGATACAGAGACACTTGGGCAATCAGGCCAAGTCTGAATGTATCCTTACCTTTGGACATGTCTAAGCCCTGGCCTAGTTCTGACCCCCAGGAACCCCTGCTGTCCTGGAAACTGCTCTGTGTGGCACTCTAAGGGAACAGAGCCAATGTCCTACCAAGCTAGCCATCTGGACGTGAGTGAAGGTGAGCAGCTTGGGTCCCGCAGTTAGCAAGGGTGTCTTTGTAGAGAGGCATCAGCTTCAAGGACAGAAAGAGATGTGTCCTTGCTCCTAAGGCTACGTAAGACAGGCCCCAGGAAAATGCCTTGAAAGCTGCTGTGAACTGCAGAGTGTCTCCAAGTAGAGCAAGAGACGGAGAAATATGGCTCCTTAACACACAAGTGTGTGAGCATTCAAGATTTTAATACAGGTTGGGAGAGGGCTATGTGCCACAGAAGCCTACCCACTGCATCCCTAGAAAACCATGGGCCCACACGGACAGTGCCCACTTGTAATGGAAGGAATCACAGCTGAGTCGCCTGGGGAAGTTATGGAAATAGCCGAGGTACCGAGCACACAGCCAGAACTGATCCGGTGTGTAGAGGCAAAGCTGTGTGGGGCTTCGTATGGCTCTCAAGTGGAATCCACAGAGAGAAGACTCAGGTGTTCCACAAAGGGGATGGAGGAAGAGGTTGTCCCCCACAGAGGAAGCTGGCCTACCCTAAGCAGTAGGTAGGGTAACACACACACACACACACACACACACACACACACACACACACACACCTGCCCAGCATAAGACATCCTGAGATATGAAGGAGCCAGAGCTATCTGAGTGCCCACTGGTGGCAAAGAGCAGCCTCTAGGATGGCTGTACTATACAGTAAGAAGTGTCTAGCTGACCCCTCTTTTCTGAAAGAGCCAGAGACAGCACACGGTCTGGAGGCCATGGAGCAAGGCAGGAGAGTGAAAACCGGCTGCCACAGCACCCTGTTCAAGAGACCATCCCAGGGCAAGGGGAGGCCTTTCCTCGTGAGAGTTTGGAGTTAAGTGGCCATTACACTTATCCCATGTACTCCTCTTCAGAAGTCAATAGTCATGGCCTGTTTGTCCATCTAGATCAAGGAGCAAACACTAAAGACAGAGGGGGAAGTCAATGGGAAAAGACTGGCCAGCGTATTCAGGACTTTGTCTCTAAGTAGAGAACAGCGACAGAGAACGATGGACCCCTAACACACAAGTGTGTGAGCATTACAGATTTTAACACAGGCTGGGAGAGGGCTATGAGCCACAGAAGCCGAGCCACTGCATCCCGAGAAAACAAGGAGCCCATGTGGACGATGCCCACTTGTGATGAGGCAGAATCTCGTGTGTTTCGTTCCTATAGCGCGGAGAGGGTAACTGAGAATGTGTTCTGGCTTCGGAGCCTGCAAGTGGTGGTACCTGGCTCTGCCCACCTTCCACTCCAAGGCATCATCTAAGTATCTGCATCTGGGCTCCTAGAAAAGCAAGCTCTGTGCTTTGTTGGGTTAACCTTCTGCGGCAATGCTGGGAATTGTTTGTTTTCTCTAGCGCTGCCAAAGCGCCCCTGGCAAGGAGACTAAGTGGGTTTCATTGAAAAGATACTTTTCCTCCCCAGGCCGATAAACAAGGCCACTGCAGGGAAACCAACTTCCTCAGCCAGGCACTCTGCAGCGGCCCATCCCTGGCCAAGGAAAACAAATGCATAAACATTTCAAGGAGATATAGGAAGCATTTCTACTGGGAACCTGCTGTGAATGGCCACTAAAGTTTACACAGCAAGCCCCAAGGGAGCCTGGTGCAGGACACAGCCCTCCCCGCCCTCCCATTCTCCTATGGCATGGCTGACTCCTCCCTGTCGCCCCAAAGATCTGCAGTTGGGACACAGCGTGTGCCCTTTCCAGCGAAACACAAGACAAGCTCTGTAGTTGTCCCCACCAAACCCCCAACTCCCTAAAAAGGAGGGGTGCATTCTTGCAGTAGAAGAAACAGCCCTGGAGAGCCTAGAGCTCTTAAACCACATGGGGACACATGGAGGCCAAAGATGGGCTGACATAAAGCATCTACAACTCCCGTGTGCCTCTCTTGACACGTGTATAAGCACCCACCTCTTCATGGCCCCTGAGCTGGGGGTGGAGGCACCTGCTGGCTTCATCATTATTTTAGTCCTAGTTTCTTACCTGGATAGCCATATGACAGGGACTTTGAGGGCTGGAACTTTGCCCCAGGTCCCTCTTGTGAACTGCTGTGAGTAGCCCTGGACTCTGGCTTTGATCCAGACACTCCCGTAGTTATGCCCCAGCCTCCCACTGCTGCTTTATCCCACTCCTTGATGAAAGCCACAGGCCAGACACCAATGCAGTAAGCGAAATGCAGAATATACCATTTTCCCACGCAACCTCTCTCCTTATTCTGCAATGTGAGTACTTCCAAAGCCCTGCCCACTCACACTGGCAGTCAGTTCTCCCCATAGCCACAGGGAAGTCTACACTTGATCCCTCTGCTTATCCCCATCTTCTTGGCTCACGCGCATGGCCAAAAAGTCACTCCCTGGGCAGCTTTCTAGCCCTGCCCATTCCAGTCTCCTTCGAGACTCACCCCCATCCTCATGTGGCCTCGTAGGAGAAGCAGGTCTCCCTGGTGTGGGCTCTCTAGGGTTTGGACTACTCTTGGACAGCAGACCACACAGCTTGTATCTTAGACTATGCTGCTCCTGCAGAAAACAGGAAGACCAGGAGACCTGACAAGGACATCCTTGAGACAAAGGGCAGGGCTTGTCCTCAGATCTTGGCTAGGAGATACTTAGCCTACTGGGGGGCCTCCACCTCGCTGTCCCACCTTGGCCATGATGAGAACAGATCTGCGCTCCCCTCACACTAATGAATCACAAAGTCTCGGCCCTGGTCATAGACTTGACTTCTGCTTTATAGAAACTGTAGTAACAAGTGTCCAGAGTCCCCAAGGCCAGCTACACCAGAGGCCTTGGAGAGAGGGGCTGTCCAGGAGGGATGCAGATGGAAGACAGGATCTTTGATGGCCTTCTTGTCTTTGGTAGTCACAGCTGCATCAGGAGGGAACCTCAGCGGTGCACCGGGCCCTACCACGGCCCTTCATGGAAGAAACTGGAAGGCTCAGTATGCCTCTGTGGCCATGCAAACTCAGGCAGGAGGGTTCCTCTGAGAGACTTGACCCTAAGACCTGGGGTCCAAGGGTCATCCCAGTGATGAGTGCTGAAGCCAGAGCTTGATGCATCCAGGGGTCACAGGATGGGGTCTGAGCCATTCCAGTTCACGGATGCCCCCTTCCATCTATGAAGAGAGTGACAGGAGAGTGTTAGAGCTGCAGAGGCCCAGGAAGGAGGCCTTGAGGACTCCACCCTGCCCAGCAGATTTCCACTTTGCCCAACCTAAACACCCATATGGCATGCAGAGCAGACACCCCAGGACCTGGTAACAATAGGGAAGGCAGAGGTGACAGGCAACTTGTCCATTTGTGCCACAGCTGACTGTGCCTGGTGCTGGCACTATAGCTTTCTAACGATTTATGGCACCCAAGGAAATCAGGGCCCAGCTCTTGTCCAGCAGTGTCTGACAATGGCCCTTCAGGGGCACCTGTGGAATCAGGGAAACCGATATTCTGGGATGGCCAAGGTCCAGAAGAGGAGCCAGAAAGGCAGGGAAAGAGGTGCAGAGGAGGCTGGAGAGCTGAAAACAGACCAGGGCATTTCTCTACGTGCCACAGGAGCTACTGAGGTCTGTGAGTTCCACAGAAACAAGACAGGTTTTGAAAACTGATTTATAAATTAAGGAAAACTAGGTAGATAAACGGTAGTATCGCAGATCCAATGGGACAGTTATTGTAGGTGAGGCCAGGGGATTTCCTAACACCTGACTCTAATCCATAGAGTTGATTTTCCAAACAATTAATGGGCATCACATTTACAGCAGATGGAGAACCTATGCAAATCCACCACAAGGGGTAGTCTGCGTATACACGCATCCTAAGACAACACAAATTAGAATATGCATGTTGCCAGACAGCACTATCGGGCAATCAGGAGACTGGGGCTTAACAACGTGTTCACGGTGTATGAAGTTTATTAGAGAGGGAACCAACATCATGTTTGCAAATCCAGAGGTCAAGTCCAAATCGCAACTGCCACAGGCAAGGGAAAATGAGAAGCTGTACTTGTTTTAATTCAGTAACTCTCTGGGAAAGCCTAAGTTCCCAAGATGGGAACCTCAGCAAGAGAGAAAACAGGTTCTCTCAGAGTAACACTGCATGCAGCACCTCCCAACAGAATGACCAGGAGCAGCAGGCCCTATCTATCCACAGAGATATGACTGGCATTTGAAATGTCCCCCACAGGCTCGTGGTTTGAATTCTTGGTGGTGCCATTTTGGGAAGCTGTGGAACCTTCAGGAAGTGAGGTCACTAGTAGTAAGTCTCTGGAGATGATACCCAACCTCTGGCTCCTGTAGACTCAGTTTTCTGGTCTACCATGATGGGAGCATCCTAAAACCAAGCTGCTTTACTATGCATGCCCTCCCCACCCAGACTAGCTGAACCCCCAAAACCATGAACCAAGCAAAATCTCTCTCCTTTAAGTTGCTTCTGTTAGGTACTGTGGTCACAGCACTATGAACACAACTAAAACACACTGGGTTCCCACCCACAGATCAACCATCTGTAGAACAAGAAACAGCAGCAACCAAAACGCACCCTCCACAAGCCAAGAAACTAGCCCGTACTGAACATGTACAGCCTGACTTCCCTTGTTATTATTCTGTAAACAATATAGTATAACAAGTGTTTGCATATTAGACATTATAAGTATCCAGAGACTAAACTATACCGAAAGATGTGTGGGCCATATGTAAATACTATGCTATTTTATAGAAGAGATTGAAGCATCCTCAGATTTTTATGTTCTCCGGCGGTCCTGAAACCTCCCCATTTTTATGGAGTGACAATTGAATGGTTCACCTTGGACCCAATGTTCCTCACCCTTGTTAGCCCATCCTCCAGCTCAACTCCTATTTCCTTCCTCCGAGGCTGCTCCTTGTCTTCTCCAGCCCTCTGAACTGCTGCCTCAGTATCTCTAGTTTTTAGGCTGAAAATAACACTGTTCCAGAGGTAGCAGGATTCATACTCACTCTGTCTTCTAACTCACTTTCCTGTAGATTATAAGCAGCTTCTTGGTAGATGTATAAACTGTATTTCCCCCATTTCATATATTGTTTTACATCATCCCATTTCCCATTTAAAAAAAAAAGAGAGCGTTCTTGTCATTTGCAAAAAAACAACAACAACAAATCTTAGTTGTAATTCTGCGCCTCTTTCTCTCACAGGATGCTCTTCAGTGTGGAAGACAGAAGTTGTACACAGTTACACAGGAACATTAACATCACATTCTAGCCCCACCAGGACACCACAGGGACAAGATAGTATATAGTATTCCCAAAGCACTGAGGATGTGAGAAAGTCCTGTGTAAGACAGAAGGCTGCCCTAATGTACACCCTAGTCAATGTTCCAGAAAAGCTGGGCATCTGAATGTTTTGTAAAAAAACAAAAAACAAAAAACAAAAAACAAACAAAAAAAAAAAAAAAATCTAACAGCCCACAGTTCCAGAGAAGCTAGCTAACAAGGAGGACCCTAAGAGGGGCACATAGATCACCCAGCGAAGGAGAAATAGATGAGATCTACATGAGTAAACTGGGAGTGGGGGGAGGTGATGGGGGGCAAAGGATGGGGGATGCGAACATAAGGGAATGGGAGGGTCGAGCTGGAACAGGGACAGAGTGGGAGAGCAGGGAAAGAGATACCATGAAAAATGAAGATATCATGGGAATAGGGAGAAACAGGGTGCTAGGGAAGTTCCCAGGAATCCACAAGGATGACCCCATCTTAGATGACTAGCAATAGTTGAGAGGGTGCCTGAACTGGCCTTCTCCGGTAATCAGATTAGTGAATACCCTAACTGTCATCATAGAGCCATCAGTAACTGATGGAAGCAGATGCAGAGATCCACGGCCAGAAGTCCAACTGATGAGAGAGAGGAGGGATTCTATGAGCAAGGGACATGGAGATCATGATGGGGAAACCTACAGAGACGACCAGCCAAACTAGTAGAAATGGATTAACTGTGGACCAATAGCTGTGGAGCCCCCATGGGACTGAACTAGGCCCTCTGGATAGGCGACACAGTTGTTTAGTTTGAACCGTTTAGGAGGCCCCCAGGCAGTGGGATCAGGATCCATCCCTGGTGCATGAGCGAGCTTTTTGGAGCCCAGTGTCTATAATGGGACACCTTGAGTACCTTGGTGCAGGAGGAGGGGCTTGGACCTGCCTCAACTGAATATACCAGGCTCTGCTGACTCCCCATGCGAGACCTTGCCTTGGAGGAGGTGGAAATTGGGTGGGGGGGAACTAGGGGGAAAGGCTGGAGGGCAGTAGGAGGGAGGAGAGGGGGATCTGTGGTTGGTATGTAACATGAATAGAAAATTTCTTAATAATAAAAATTTTTTAGAAACCCAGTCTATTTAAAAGGCTAGAATAGGCAGGTGGGGAAAACCAGCTTAGGCATAAATATTCATTTGAGGAACTGTCCCCAAAGTTCTGTGTTCTCTTTGGTGTCATTTGGTGGCACCCAGCAATGCTGAAAGACCTCACCCGCTAGGGTCATGCAGCTTTCTGGCAGTCCGTCCCTAACTGCCTGCAGGACAGGCATTTGGTTCTGCTTTGGTCACAGTACTCAGAAACAACTTCAAAAGGAGGTCTTTCAAAAGCCAGTGCTGGCAGAATCGCCCGTGTAAGGTCCAGCCTAACCTGTGTTTGGAAACAAATGCCAACAAACTCACATTCAACACTGCCTGCATCCTTCCTAACCATCAGCAGGAGAACCCCAAGGGTCGGTCTCATAATCTACTAGATGTGGGAGACCTGGGTGGCTCAGTGATCTCTTGCTCTGGACCACTTCCCAAGCTTCCTGTATGTCAGGTAGAGCCAGGGGACTCTTACCAATTTGCTCACTTAGACAGAACACACCCACTTTGATGGAAGATGTCCACATTGCATTCCACTAAGTGGTAGTCACAGCCACTGTACCGGGGGACAACCTGACAGAACTTGGAGAAATTGACGGTTACATGAGGAGTCTTCTGTTGGTAAGACTTTGGGGTTGGGATCTCATGAGGTCCCAGGGAAGGCAGCGCAGGTCTATGAGCAGGGGAAATGGTCCCTGCTCTAACTGGCACACATATGAGCAGGCATCGGTAGAGCAGTGCTAAGCCTATGTTCTGAAAAGCAGGCTGATCTACTGCAGATAATGAGTTAGTAGCGATTCAGTGATCTGTAACAATATAATGCTATTTGAAAATTTTAATTATCTCTTCCTGATCATCTCTGCAGCTCTGAAAGTACACCATTAAAAATTCTTTTATTGTTCTAGTAAGATTTGTATATAAGCAGCAAAGTCTTGGGTACCAAGATCTTAGGGGCCTGAAGTGATGGCTCAGTGGTTGAGAACACTGGCTGCTCTTAACACTGGCTGCTCTTCTGGAGGTCCTGGGTTCAATTTCCATCACTCCCATGGTGGCTCACAACTTTCTGTAACTGTAACCCCATGGGATCCAATGCCTTCTGGTGTACAGATGGACATGTAGACAAAATACCCATATACATAAAATAAATAAATGAATCTTAAACAAACAAACAAACAAACCTGAAACACACATCTTAAATGCAGATTCCCAAACAGTGACAAAAAGGAGACACAATGGAGAGGGACAGATCCCCCTTCAGCCTGGTCCCCAAGGTCTAGACTGTCATTCTCTCCATACCCACTCAACCCCCAGACTCTGCCTTCCCCGCGGGAGGCAAACCTAAGCTCTCCCATGAGCTCCCGACAGACAAAATGGGATTTGGCTTCAATGCAGGGTGAGTCACATTCACCCGTCACCGAACATCTGTGTCACACCAGTCACGGAGCCTTGTTGGCACGCTGCTGGGTCTATGGTTGGTTTTGAAGCCATTCACAAGGAAACGAGCCCTCCCATCCTGGCCAGGTGCAAAGGCCGTGGAGAGAAGCACTTCGCTATGGTATGAGGAATCAGCCGTCTGGAGGGCGGGAAGGGCTGGGCAGGACAGCGGGTCTGAATGAAGAAGAGCTTTGACAAGGCTGTAGCAGCAGCAAGGAAGGGCTGCAGAGAAGTGAGTGGGGGAGACGGAGAGGTGCCCGAAGCTGCAGCGGGAGTCAACGGCCCGGGCTGTCAGCAGCAGTAACTCAGGAGGCGGGCAGACAGTGCACTTCAAAGCACCTTGGTACTGGATAACCCTGGTGTGGGAGCTGTTTTGCCCACTATGGGACATTTTGTGCTCTTTTCCTGGACTATAATTGCCGAAAGTGTTTCAAGACTGCCAAATAATCCCAAAGGTGAAAAACCACCCTACCAAGGACCACCAACTTAATAGTTGAGCTTTGAGCTCAAAGCCAATAGCAACCTCACCAGAGAGGGCCATGGCATGCAAATGCTCCCCCCCCCACCCCCCAGCCTCAGGGCAATCACAGCAGCACAGCTGGCTCCAGCCTGAACCGAACCAGACCACTGCCGAACCCGATGGACTTCACCTAGGAAAAGGGCCCGTGTGAGGCGGTAGCAAAAGGTAGGCAGGCCTGGTTTCCATGCTCCAGACTGCGGAAGATACACCCAGGAGTTCTTTTGCTGGCCTTGATCTTCCAGACAGCTCTGCGCACGTTTCTGTCCCTTGGGCCATCCTGAATTACAAGTGGTTCTAGAGCTAGGCCTGCATGCTCCCTGCCACCTGTGGCCGTGGCCAGTCCTTCCCCTGGCACACCCAACCTTCTCTAGGCTCAGATCCAGACCCCTTGCAGAACAGATCTGGCTTGGAGGTGGTTCTCACACTTGTGCTAGGCTCAGAAAGAGCTGATATCACCTGTCACCCAGAGTTCTGAGGTACGGGGACACTCCTCTACCCCAGGTCTCCTCTTATACATTGACTCTAAAGCCCACTGCCTCCCCAGACCCCCACATGGAAATCCAGGTCTTTATTCACTCTTTACACGACTCAGCACACTGTCCTGTACTCACCCCCATGCCTTCACCCATCTGATCCCTTTCCTGCCTGCCTTTCCCCACATGTTCAGAGCCCCTTATAAAGGTCAGGGAATCTTCTGTGGTTCTACTTTCTCACAGCAGCTCAGGAAAGAGGTAGTGATACCTGACTGACAGATGGACAGAACTGAGCTCAGGAGGACAAACCGTAGGATGTGACAAGCCAGGGCAGAGGGGGGAATATGTGGACAGCAGCACACACAAGAGTGTGTCTGACACAGATAGTGGGATGCCAGGGGGAGCCCCTTCTGTGGCTAAGGGGCACTGTGAACGGGGAGCCCAGGCACGGGCACCAGCAGGAGGGAAGTGGGGTGCATAGGAGGGCAGGGCATCCCTAAGGAAGGTAGGTGCTCTCCCAGACCTCAGAAACACCGACCCTAGCTGGAACCAGTTTCCATCTCTTGTCTGAACCTCCCTCCAAACAGAAACATCTGGGCCCTAGCTCCAGGCCCGGTTATGAGCTCTTTCCTCTCCTCTCTGGCCTGCTGACAACTCTTTCATTTTTCTAGCACTCCAGTGAGGATGGAAGCCTGGGAGAGGTCAGTGTGTGCTGTTAGAAGTGACCCCCAAAGAGTCTGGTTTGGTTGATGTGGTTTCAGAACAGCAAGGGGAGGGGCAAGAGATGGACCCCACATTCCCAGGACAGCAAAGGTGACAAGACACTCTGTGGGGCTGAGATGCGCATCATTCAAGAGCAGAGACAGCACAGAGACCTCGCAATGTTTCTAATTAGGATGCTGTTCTCTGAAGGCAAAACCCGGAGTCTGGGTTTGTGCAATGCCTCCGTGGCCACACAGCCAGGTGGCAGGAAATCACACTGTCCGCTCGGTCACTGACCACCGGGCTGGGACAGTGACGGTGACAGTCTATGCTGCTGGTGACTCAATGTGACTGTACAACCTATACCTCCCCATCTATTAAAGAAAGGGCTAGACTGAGGGGGGGTCTGGGCACCCCTCTGTGGACTAAGCCCATCGCCAGATGGCCAGATATGTGATAGGTCCGTCCTGTAGGGTAGGTCACCAGTTCCTGCAGAGCAGCAAGACTGGCCGTAAGGACAAGAGGTCATCTTCCCCTGGATTGGATCAGGGTGGATTCTGAACTTGACTTCCATTTGATTGAACTCCCTGAAAGTGGGAAGTGATTCGTATTCAGCTGTTTCTTCTAAAGAATCGAGACCAGAGCCTCCGGGAGAGTGAGTTGGCATGAGGAGGAGGAAGCTGCCCCCGCCCAGTAGGTGCTCCAGCTAGCCACTCTTCCCCTGCATGGACAGGAGGATTCGGAACATTCAGCTGCATCCCACCATGTATTTGAAATCTGACTCTGGTTTTGGCAGTGACCCTGAGCATGGGCTATGGTACCAGCTGTAGTCTAAGGCAGGTCTACAGGCAGCAGGATTCGCCCCCTCACCTCAACCCCATAGCCAAGACCATTCCAGCAGGTCCTCAGAGTGACCTCAGGGGCCACTTTCCCAAGTTCCTCCTTTGAGCTTTTGAGAATCTGCAGCAAGAACAAAACACAAAGCCTTTGTAATTCAACCCCCTTGGACTAGGATTTCTGGCCTGCTGTTTCCCATTACAGTGGCATGTTATCTGATGGATCGAGGGGACAGGGACCCAACCATTCCACTCTTCACTCACCCACTCAGCCTTCCGGCAATAATTCTGGGAAAAACTCTGGGAAAGAGCTCCCATGGTAACTGGCCAGGTAGACTCACCATGGCGAATGTAACAAGAAAGCAGAGCAGGCCAAAACCTGTTGTTAGGAATAAAGTTCCCTGGCCTCTGGTTATCATTCAGGCTTGGTACCTTCCTTGGTATCTGACTCCCAAAGGCAGGTTCACAAGGCAGATGGACACAGATGGGGCCTGGGAAGGCCCTTACCCATCGTTAACCAGCACTTCTGAAAAGTAGTTCTAGGGCCTAGGGAGATGGTTCCACAGTTAATAGTGCTTTCTGAGCACCAATGAGGACCAGAGTTCAAATCCCAGCACCAGCTGATAAGCCAGGTGCCCCACATATGTCTCTGCCTCCACCTGCAATGTGAGTATTGCTGGGCCGTCCTGACCTCTAAACTATCCAAGAAAACATGAGCCCCAAGTTCAACAAGAGACCCTGCCTCAAAGAAATCTGGTGAGGAGAGGGTACCTGCTGCCTTCTTCTGGCCTCCATAGTATGCATAGGTATGTGTGCGCGCGCGAGCACACACACACACACACACACACACACACACACACACACACACACGCACTTTAAACACAAATGAAAGAAGGAATATTTTCTGAAGTGGTCCTAGGGCTGTAGCACCAGTAGCAACTAGGAACTGCACTGAAGTTTCACATCCTCAGGCCTCAGCGCAGAGGCCCTGGGGGCCCTGGAGGCTCCAGTTCTAACATATTCTGCAAAGGAGCTGATGTCTGGGACGACTTCCCAGTGAGTGATCCAGAATTCACATGGGCTTCCCCTAGGCTTCCTGGGGATGGATGGGGTCTGGGATGCCCAAAGTCCCTAGGCCTGCTGTCCCTAACCCTGTATGCTATATAAATGGTGATATTTCTCTCCATGACAAACACTGGGAAGCACTTCTGAAGAGGCCAGGGCTATGGCCAGGTCAGGGAGCAGAAGCGAGGGCATGGAAAGCCAGGCACCACGCCCCAACTCAACCTGCTCTCCAGCTCCCCTCACAAGGGGTCACTGGGATAGAATGGGTTAGGCATCGTCCCAAGAGACCAAAGCACCAACAGAAGAGATCCAAGCCCACCCTCGATGACTCTGAACTGAGCTCCGTGCCAGCCACCTCAGGGCAAGGGGCTACCTCAAGACGGGCCAAAACCCTGAGCCATTCTTGAACAACTAACTGCCCAAGAGGCTGAGCTCCGGAAGGCCAGTCAAGACTGGGGGCTGCTTGGTCAACCAGGAACGATCTATTGCCAAAAAGGGGCAGTGAAGAGATTAAGGGTTACCACTGGCGGGAGGGGTACAAAGAGAAAGTCAAATGGAGATATCAAGGAGCATCCCAGTGGTCTGTATGCTGTAGAAAGAGGCTGTGCCTAGAGGGCAGCTGGGGCCCTTCTCCGTCAGAAAAGTCATCCTGTGGCCTCCTGTACTAGCCTGCACTAAATGCCAAGGCCAATGTCACCTCCTTTCCCCTTCAAAGCCCTTCACTCATCACCTTGAATGAGTGGCCCTTTGTACTTGAAAGGACAGCGACCCACATGTGCCCCTGATCCTCTGATGAAAACAGCCAGCCTATGACCTACAGGAATGCTGTATCCCTGGGGAGGGTGTGTGGGGGGGCAGGGAACTGGCACAATGGGGATGTGCCTGTAGCCCTCCCATTTCCCCTTCCTGACGCTTCCACAGTGCCAAAACAGTCCCTGCTCTCTTCCTCAGTCCCACTCAAAGGCTTGTCTGCAAGGGGCAGCATGCCTGGGACTCCAGGTATGCCTTCAGGTGGTCAGCCTCTCAGGGCCTGGCTGTGGCTCTGGCCCCAGCCACAGGGAAACAGATTCCTTCTGAGACAGCATCAGTCATGAGTGCCAAGGATGATGACAGTGAAAGCTAATGCTAGAAAGTTCTCCATGCGGGCTCCAAGCTGCCCTTGCCCCCACTTTACAGATGACAAAGTAAGTCAGAAAATGAAGTCCAGTGTATCACAGCCAGCCTGCAGCCTTCCTCCAGAATTCGTGCTCGGAACCGCTATGGCACGCACTACATCCCCGGAAAAGCAACCAGAACCTGGTCTCCCTCCCGAGATGCTCCTCGATGCTTCTCTACCACACACTAAGGTCTCCCAGTCGCCACTACAGACTTGGAGAAGAGCTGGCCAAGTAAGCCAGAGGCTTCTACCAGCGACAGCCCAGAGACTCTGCAGAGCACAGCCCCAGCCTAGGGCACAACCAAATATTTAGGGAAGGAAGGGATAGGCTTGTGCCAACTCTAGCCTGGGCCACAACCTTCCCTGAATGCAGAGTCTGAATGAGATCTCAAGGACCTACCCAGTGCCTTAGAGACAGGGACGTCTCTGCTCAGTGTTCAGACTGGCTGTACCACACCAGGGTAGGCAGCTACTGCTGTAGTGGGCAGCCACCCCCCACCACACCATGGCCATCTCATGCCCTCCCACCACATCCTGGTCATCCCATTGCCCCACCACCACACCCTGGCTATCCATGTCCTCTTCCAGTTCTATCCCATTCTCTCTCCCTCAGCCCATGGAGACACCTGCTTAAGTGTGTAAGTCCCCATCCCAGTGTCTTATCAGCTGCTTGGTATTACCCTCTCCATCAAGCCCCCCAGGAAGCTATCTACAGGTCTAATGTCCCCAGTCAATGCACATCCTCGCCTCAGGGTGAGTTTTACAACGTTAGAGGCAGCCCCACTCACTTGGTTCTGATACAGAGCTCAAGGGGAGGGACAAGGTCGCTGCAGCTGTCCTCTGGGCTGGTCTTGGTGGTGTCTAGGGAGGAGGGAGAAAAAAAGCACTCACATCATCTCAGGATATGCACTTGCCCTGAGTCCAGGACAGGCAACTCCAGGGAGCCAACCCAACCCTCTGAGTATCACGCTCCCGTCTCCATCTGAACTGGATCTACCCTCCCTCTTGGTCATGGATTCTTACCTAGACAGTGCACTGGCCTCTCACCTCCAGCCTCCACCAAACCCAGGCCCTACTTCAGTTACCACAATATTTTTTTTTTCTAAAAACACATGTGGCCTCATTATTCTCCTGCTCTAAAACCTCCCGTGACTCCCTACTTCCTTAAAAGCAAATCCAAACCCATCAGCAACGCTCACAGGACACTCTATGGTCAAGTGCTCAAGGTCCATCCATGGCCCTCCCGTGCAGGCTAGCATCACTCTCTGGCCCCCATGAGTATCCCAAGAAGGCATGTTAAGGCTGCTTCTGGAGCAGCCTGGAGGCTCCCTGAGGAGACCCGTTAGGGTATCTCACCAACAGTCAGCCGAATCTCCTCCTGCTGGTTGGCCAAGCCGTCGTAGTAATAGAGGTCAAAGAGCCGCTCCGTCTTCCAGTTGGACAGGAGCTCTGGTTGGAGGCTGAAGAGGATGCTGAAGTGGCTCTCGCTGCAGACCACCCAGATGGGGAACCTCGGAGTCTTCAGGAAGCAGCCAACCTGAATCGGGAGGGAAAGACCTGACGCAATGTGCCGCCCGGCCGAGGCGAGGCTGCATTCCCAGAGATCCCTGGTGTGATGCTGGAAACCCCTCCTGCTGCCCAGACCTTCCAGAGCAGGCCACCTCACAACAAGGATCTCGGGGAATTCACACACAGCATCGGTTCCAGGTGGCAGCCATGCCACAGCCCACCATCCTGTAGCCTTCTCTTCTCCTCCAATCTCTCCCACACCTCACTTGCGTGGGGCTCAGCCACTGCCTCCCAACTAACTCTTGCTGCACTCCTCACAGCCACGCAGCCCACCAATCCCTGGGCCTTCCCAATCTTTGTCTTCCCTCGGGAGAGCTGTACCACTCCAACAGCTTGGTCAGTGAGCAGGCATCACTGCCTCCTTCTGGTTCCCCGGGGGCAGCTGCCCTCTCAACCATGGCGCCACAGTCTGCCTTGTGCCTTGTGCCACCACCACATGCACCCCTCCCAAGAGCCTGCCCAATGTGTGAACAAGTGGTTGAAAAATGGAGGTCCTCAGGACCTCCACTGACTTCAACTAGAATTGTGCACTGAAGACAGGTAGGCCTGGGAGCCCTGGGGAGCCAGGAGGGAAGGGTATGAGTGAGCAGTCCCACGGTGTCAGGGTGAACGTCTGAGAAAGTCAGGGTGCAGAGGGCTGTTTGGTGAGGGAGCCTGGAGGATGAGGCCAGGGCAGCACAGGAACATGGAGCAAAAAGTCGCTCTGCAAATCCCCAGCCAGGGACTCTCATAGCTGGCCAAGGATGTGTGGGAACAAACCAGAGACCCCTCCAGCACACTGGCACAATGCTTCCTGCAAAGACCTATTCTATTTATGACCCCTTGGGTAGGCCACCGGACACACTCTTCTGTAAGTGCCCCAGGCGGCACCTCGCCTGCCAGAACTAGTTTATTTAGCCATGCTGAGCTGGTCCTACCTAATCCACAGCCTCCCCCAGAGGAGATATTTGCTGCTCAGGTGTTTCCAGCCTCTGCTGTGGATTAAGGAAAGAATGGGAGCTATTTTTTCCAATGGGGAGAAGGGCACACTTGCTCTAGGGCCCACCGCAGAATACTGAGGCAGCTTCCACCACCTCAGGGGTAAAGCTGGAGATACTCGGGACTGAGGGGGTATGCTCAGAATGTCCTCCGTGAAGGACTCGTCCATTCAAGTGGAGCGCAGGAGGGACCATGTTGGCCAAGTGCTAGCTGCTTTCTTATCTAAAATAAAGCTCCCTTTCGGTGCTCAAAAGAGGTATTCTTGGGAGGCCCGGCCCGGGACTGTACTCACTCACAACAGGCAAGGAAGGAGCCTCAAGCCAGGCATTGGCAGGCCTGGGCGCCATCAGCTCCTGAATTTTCCAAACGAGGAACAGAGGGCAGCTTGCCATTTATAAACAACAGTCAAAAGATTAAGAGCAAAACACTGCCCAGAGGGCTTATAAATGAGTGTACTCATTCACAAGCCTTTTCCACGAGGAGACATTTTCCAAAGAGACTTCCGTAGGGGTCTTAGGGAGCTGGGTGTGCAGGCCAGGCTCTCTCCTGGGGGCCATGCTGCACCATCACAATGCTTTTATTTGTTTGTTTTTATTGTTCTGAACTTTTAAACTTCTTCTTGGTGTTGAGAAATAAACTCAGGTGATTGTGGTAAACCTGTGCTCTGCCACCGAGCCGCACTCCTAGCTAGCTCCTGAGATTGTTATTTTAAATGCCATTCAAATACTATGAGTTTTGTCAATACTGTGTAAATCAATAA